AAGGTGACTGGAATTTGAAAAGGTAGCAATTTGAGTTATGCTAAGACAGTGTACTTAATAATATAAAAAATCCCATAAGGAAATAAAACATTAATACAGAAAAGCACTGAAACATCAAGATATTGTATTAGAATTATTTGAGGAAATAATAAGAGGAAAATATTATAAGGCATTATAGAGTAGGTGTTGGTGAATGAACATCAAATTTTATTTTTGTGGCTATCTCTATCTACTTCTTTTGTTTTGTTTTTTTTTTTTTCTATCTACTTCTAAAAGAGTAAACAATGGAATCAACCAGTTTTATGGCTACTGAGAATACACTTTCTTTGTCCCAGCAAAAGAAAACAGAGTTGGGTTTAAGAGAGACAGGCAGAGAAAATAATAGTCCATTTTATTTAGTACAGCACTTTACTCAAGGCTCAGAAGTGCTGTCTCAAACATCCTAATGATTACACTGCTAAGGGTAAGACACGTTTTCCACACAAACTCAGAGCTCCAAAACAAAGGAGCTTCAGGTACCAGCTGAAGATCAGTGACACTAAACAAGCTAAGGGTTTAGACATACTATGCCACCCAAACTTCTTCCATATAATCTGTCACAGGTAGTTTTCCAAGTGATTTCTCTCAATAATTCATCCACTCATCAAAGCACTTCTCTGATATCTACTACGCAACTGGCTGTGGTGTTACAGAGATTGACATGCACATTCCTGGAGTTCACGGATTTCATTTGAGTTAAGTGGAATATAGGTACACAGATGTGCACCCACAGTTACAATGCCCTGCAATCTATGCTCTAACGGTGTGGCAAGCGTAAAATGGAGCATAGAGACAGGAACAGTAAATATACCTTTGGGGGAAACATCTGCAAAAACTGGAAAGCCCCCTCAAGACCTGAGGCATTTCTCTTCCTGAGTCACTGGTAGGGTAATCAGAACATCTGCAGCTCTTTCCCTAGGGGCTGGCTTATAGTCCACACACCAGAAGCCAGGGTTCCAAAAGCATCATAAATTCATAAAGCCAAAGGACATCTAAGACACCATCTGGTACAGGGGTTCCCAAGCCTGGCTGGGCTCCAGCATCACCTGGTGCCTTGGCAGCAGCCACAGACATGGATGTGACATGCCTGAAGGTTCTGGAACTGCTCTTTTGCTATGGCTTGTCTACGAACAAGTATTTGGGATTCCTTGATTCCAACCAATCCCATCTTCAGAAGGAAGAGTTTAGAGGAAATTCATGCCCACAAATTTCAAGTGAATTCACCAAATTAATGCAATAGGCACTTTAGGACAACAAGGGTAAAGCATCTAGCAAAGGTATTTTTAGCCCAAATATTTTCAAAATGTATTTCCAATGCACATGACATAAACCATATAACACAGAACTATTCATACACACACAAAAAATACAAGGTCAAGGAGAAGATGAGAGAGAAAACTTCCAGAGAATTAAATTTAGTAAAGATACTTGTTGCAATTGAGCTGTAAATTAGTTCTGTTCTTCCTAGAAAAAATTTTTAAGTGGAAACACTGAGTCAAAATTCTCATTCTTTCAAAAAGGGTATCTGATTTATCAGGAGGAAACATCTATGCTCCTGGTAGTATATTTTAAAGAAAAGCTTAGTGTACTGCCAAGGCTACAGCAAACACTTAAACTATTGAACGAAACCAAAAAATGTTTTCCAATTGACATTCCCTACATTAACCTTTGATAGAAGCTAAGAGTAATCAGTAAATACTGGCTTGTTTAGATATTTGCACAGAGAATGGCAGTAGCACAATTTAGGTCTGTAACTTTGAAGACAGACACAAGACATCTTCTATCAATGAAAAGTTAAAACTTTTATATGATGGGAAAGGTTGATAGAAAAGTATTGTCTGCATTTATAACTGCATACCTGTATAAAAGCAGGTGCAGGAATAAGAGAGTCTGCCCTGGGGTTGCCCTTTACACACACACACACACACACACACATTTAGGGCTCCTGCAGCCTCTTTGGAGGCTCTTTCTTTATATATATATATATATATATAGAGAGAGAGAGAGAGAGAGAGAGAGAGGCAGGCATACAGGCAATATCAGGGAAGAGTTAGGGAGAAAACAGCAGAGGAAACTCCATGCAAATTAGAGGGACATTGTGAATCTATGTGAACGGTGTGGATGTGCACAACTCAGGACCCCAGCAGCTGAGCACCTCAGCCCCAGTTTTGCAGAGTGAGGTGAGACCAGACTTCAGCAGCCCAAGCCACTGATAATATACCTGAGGGAAGAGCTTGGCAAAAGTCCAGTTTGGAGTCCTGTGGAGGAGAGTACACCTGGCAACCTAGAGGTAAAAAAAAAGGGCCAGGTTTCTCTCTCCCTGACTACCTGGCACTGGAGTCCTATAGATAGCCAAGACAGCGTGAGTGCCATTTTGGACATACATAACAGCTGTTCCAGCTTGTGTCCATGTGCCCAGCAACCAGCCAACAGGAGATGCCTGAGTCTGACTGGGAGAACTGACAGGGGGCTGAGTGCTCATGACTGTGGGAGACTTGTGTGCTGGGACTGCGAAAACACTGCCGCTGCATGTGAAAGCACAGGGTTTGGCAGGATCTTCAGGTAGTCATTGTGGGCAGTTCCACATACTCAGGGCTCCCTGATTCCCTGGTGAGGGTCACTGCTGTGGGATCTGTGCCTAACACCAAGGACAACACAGATCTTTCTTATGGTTCTTTCAGCAGTGAACAAGCATTGGTTTCCATGGAGGAGAGGAGGTAAGTATGAGACTATGCAAACAGAGCAGTGGTGGGCAGGAGGGAGGGGGGGTGGAGGAGGAAGAGGATATTTACCACGCTCAGTGGTATCACCTTGGACACTCCCTCACCATGGAGCGATGAACAGAGCTCTCTGGCCACACTCAGCATACACCTCAGGGAATACCACTGAAAGAGCAGACATTCCATTAATCCACAGAAGCACAGTCCAAAGACAAAAGCCATCACAGGGAAAAACAACAAAACACAACACCAACAAGTATCTCCAGAAATGCCTAAAAATAAATGCAGCAATTCAAAAAATAAGACTAAGGAAGACAACATGATACCTCCAAAGGAACACAACACTTCAATACTAGAATGTGAAAATGAAGAGATGGAAGAAATGCCGGAAACAGAATTCAAAAAATTGATCAAAGGATTACTCAGAAGTAATTAGAAGCAAATTCATGGATTAAAGAAATCCATACATGACATGAAAGAACATTTTTCCAGTGAAATTGAGGTGTTAAAGAGAAATCAAAATGAAATATTAGAGATGAATAATTCAATAGATCAAATAAAAAATGTGGTGGAAAGTCTTGAAAACAGACTTGGTGAGGCAGAAGAAAGAAAATCTGTGTTAGAAGACAACAGAGAAGAAATTAGAATACTAAAAAAAACAGTGTTGGAGATCGATGGGATATGATCAAACGACCCAACATATAGGTCTTAAGATTTCCTAAAGGTGTGGAAAGAGAGAATGGTTTAGATGTCCTTTTTCACGAAAAATAACTACAGAAAATTCCCCAATTTGGAGAGAAAAAGGGACAGCAAAGTACAGGAAGCACATGGAAATCCTAATAGACATGACCAGAAAAGATATTTACCACAAAACATTGTAGTCAAACTCTCCACAATAAAACATATAGAAAATTTCTAAAATATGCACGAGAGAAATTTCAGATTACTTTCAGAGAATCTACAATTAGACTCACAGAAAAATTCTCATCAGAAACCCTACAGGGTAGGAGAGAATGACGAGATATATTCCAAGTCTTAAGAGAAAAAAACTGTCAACCTAGAATAATGTACCCTGCAAAGCTCACATTTATGAATTAAGGTGAAATAAAGACCTTTCAGTACAAACAGAAATTGAAAGAAACTGTCACCACTCATCCAGTCTTTCAAAAGATGCTTACGGATGTGCTACACACAGAAACACAGAAACACCACCATCACTATGAAAGAAGGTGAAGGCAAAAAATCTCCCAGTAAAAGTACAAAAGGAATCCAGAGTAAACAGTAGGAATATTTATGGAAAACTAGCAGGGCAAAGTCATTACCTATCAATAGTCACCTTGAATGTAAATGGCCTCAAAGCTGGTTAAAAGAGACAGTCAGGCTGAATGGATTAAAAACAAAACCCATCTATTTGGTGCCACAAGAAACACATCTCACCAAAAAAGATACAAGCAGACTGAAAGTGAAAGGATGGAAAAAGATATCCCATGCTAACAGAAACCAAAAAAAAAGCTGATGCAGCCATCCTAATATCAGACTGAATAGATTTTTAACACAAAAGCTGCTATAAGAGACAAAGAAGAGCACTATGTAATGATTAAGGGATCAATCCAACAGGAAGATGTGACTATAATAAATGTAAACAAACCTAATTACAGGGCATCTAGCTATTTAAAAGAAATGTTAATAGATCTAAAAGGAGACATAGACTTCCATACAATAGTAATGGGGGACTTCAATACTCCACTTTCAGCAATGGACAGATCAACTAGAAAAATCAGCAAGGAATAACAGTTAATTGATACTATAGAACAAATGGACCTAATGGATCTCTACAGAACTTTTCATCCTACAGTTGCAGAATACACATTCTTCTCACCAGTGCATGGAACTTTCTCTAGGATAGACCACAGGTAGATCATAAAGCAAGTCTCAGCAAATTAAAAAAAAAAATCAAAAATCACACCATGCATCTTCTCTGAACACAATGGAATTAAGCTGGAAACCAACAACTTAAGAATCTCTAGAACATATGCAAACACATGGAGACTGAATAACATGCTCCTGAATGAACAGTGGGTCACTGAAGAAATCAAAAGAGAAATAAAAAACTGGTGAGGAATAGTTGTTATTTTTCATACTATTTGTTGAAGCCTTTAATTAGCATAGAGTTAATCCTATGTATAAAGTTAATGGAAAATGGATCTTAGTAAAAAATAAGAATGGAAATAGGAGGTGAGGCACGGCTGGAGTAACGTGAGCGCATCGCTCTGTGTCGCCGAGCGACCCTGAACCTTTTGAAGACAGCTCATGTCTTTTTATTGGCGCTGGAATGTCACAAGGCATGTAGTAGATCGACAATGCGGGTGTGCTGGTTGGTGAGACAGGACAGCCAGCACCAGCGAATCAAACTTCCACATTTGGAAGCAGTTGTGATTGGACGCAGCCCAGAGACCAAGATCACTGATAAGAAATGTTCTCGACAGCAAGTTGAAAGCGGAGTGTAACAAGGGATATGTGAAGGTGAAGCAGGAACCTTTGGGTCACTGGAGTCAAGGCTTGAAGATTTCAATGCAGGACCCCAAAATGCAGATGTCTGTTTTCTTCTCTTGTGCCTCTCTGCTAGGTCTACAAAGATGAGCAGGTGGTAGTGATTAAGGATAAATATCCGAAGGCCCGTTACCACTGGCTGGTCTTACCATGGGCCTCCATTTCCAGTCTGAAGGCTGTGACCAGGGAACACCTTGAACTCCTCAAGCATATGCACACTGTAGGGGAAAAGGTGATTGCAGATTTTGGGTCCAGCAAACTTCGCTTCCGACTGGGCTACCACGCCATTCCTAGCATGAGCCATGTACACCTTCATGTGATCAGCCAGGATTTTGATTCTCCTTGCCTTAAAAATAAAAAACACTGGAATTCTTTCAATACAGAATACTTCCTAGAATCACAAGCTGTGATCGGGATGGTGCAAGAGGCTGGCGGAGTGACTGTCCGAGATGGGACCTCTGAGCTCCTGAAGCTGCCCCTTCGTTGTCACGAGTGCCAGCAGCAGCTGCCTTCCATTCCTCAGCTGAAGGAGCATCTCAGGAAGCACTGGACAGCGTGATTCTGCAGGGCTGAACGGCTGCTGCGGCTGTTCGGAGCGAACTGCTGGCACCTATTCTGGGTTGCTTGTGAACTGTTCATTTCTTGGATTAAAACATGCAGCATTTTTACAAAAAAAAAAAAAAAAAAAAAGAATGGAAATAGGAGAGGGAGGAGGAAGAAAGGTAGGATAGGAGTGTTGGTGGGAGGGTGGGTACAGTGGGAAGAATCACTATATTCCTAAAGTTGTATTTATGAAAGTTTGTATAATGTAAATAAAAGGTTTCTGGGAGAAAAAAATGAAGGCATGTAACAGCCACCCAGCTACAGTGCACTGGGATTCTCAGACTTAACCCAGGTAAGTAAGGCTGTTATTTATACACAGCTCTAATTTCATAAAAATATATTATCTTTCAAGTTGTATCACCAGCTGTGATTTTATCACCATGCTTATTTTAAAGGGATGAGACACAGCTCTCATAGGGATCTTCACAGATATATTTTTTTTAGAAATGAGAATTTCCTTAAAAGGAAAACTCAATTAAAATTGCATGCCAGTATAAAAGAAAGTTGTTGCATATCATTTATTAAAATCAAGTAATTCATAGTTGACAGTTGCATAATCACAAAAATTCCAAATTTTTTTGACAAAAAGGAACTGCAATCTAGTTCCTAAGCAGTAAAATTATTAATTTTAAGCCACTTGCAAAAATCTCAAAAACTGAATAAAATTTTACACTCAAAACTACTTCCCCTTGTTTTGTTATTAAAAATATAAAATCTGGGTTTGTGATTAACTAAAGAATATTATCCTGGTACATCTTAATTGTAACAAATATGCCAATAAGGTGGGATTTAGGTCACATTTTTATTAGCCAACCACTGTTTATGACTGTCATTTTCAGTTTTATTTACTGTCTTCCTACAAAGTAATGTTCCTCATTACCATACTTTAAAACATGGAAATTAGAAGGTTTTACTAAAACTTTTTGAGCCAGCCCTAACAACTGTACCTGAGGCAAAATGAATGTGTGACAATTTCTACTAGGGAATTCCTTATCCAGACAAGGAATATCAGGGGGTTCATTCATCATTTATTTCCCTTAAAATGGAAAATTTGTCAAAAAGAGATGTGTGCACTGGGCACAGAGCCTGAAATAGTTGGCACCTGAAAATACTGGCTGAACTGAAGTGAAGTGAAGGAAATTTGCCTTAGTTAGAAAAACAAAAGTATTAAGAAAGAAATCATCTCGATATAAAATGTTAATCCCCTTCCCAACAGTTCAAGGACAAAGCATACAATTGAGAAGGGCCAAAGAGGTCTCTTGGTTCAGCTTCTCGTACAGCCAGAAATGACCCACTGAAGTGACTAGGGCCATTCTTCCCCCAGGGTACTCTTGGCAACGTCCGGAGCCATTTTTTGGTTGTCACAGTGAGAGAGTGTGTCACCAGCATCTAGTGCTGAGAGGCCAGGGACGACATTTCACATCCTGCAATGCACTGGTCAATCCATTCCCTCAACAAGCAATTATTTGGGGCAAAATGAACAATGGTGCTGAGACTGATAAACCTACCTCACTGGTAATGGAGGAGAACCCATAGCATCATGTGCTTGTCTTCACCCCACTGGACAGCCAGCCCTACTAAAAAGATCACTTTTATTGGGCCGGCACTGTGACTCAGTGGGTTGATTCTCCGCCTGCAGTACCGGCAACCCATATGAGCGCTGGTTCTAGTCCCGGCTGCTCCTCTTCCAATCCAGTTCTCTGCTATGGCCTGGGAAAGCAGTGGAAGATGACTCAAGTCCTTGGGCCCCTGCACCAGCATGGGAGAATGGGAAGAACCACCTGGGTCCTGGCTTCGGATCAGTGCAGCTCTGGCCGTTGCAGCCACTGGCGAGTGAACCAACAGATGGAATACCTTTCTCTCTGTCTCTCCCTCTCACTATCTGTAACTCTACCTCTCAAGTAAATAAATAAAAAAACCTTTTAAAAAAGATCACTTTTATTTTCAAATTTACAGATTAATAACCATTTGTCAGAAATATTAGAGAAAATATAAATGCATTTTGAGATAAAATACAAAGTCACATTTTAAGGGAAAAAATGTGTCATTTTAGATGATAATTTAAATTTATTTTCTAATACATATAAATTACAGAATATATGAAAACAATCAAGTTTAGAGGGTATGAGTGAGAGGGAAGGGAATATCATTATGTTCTTAGGATTGGTTCTACAAACCATATTGAATTTGTTAAAAGCTAATTTTAAAAAACAATAAAAACTCAATCAAATTTATTTACAGAAGGCTTGCTATATTACTTTGAATTCTTTTAGTGATTGGTAACTTTTAAGACAACATTTTTCTTAAAATTTATTAATATTAGTGAGTTCTAATAGCTTCTTAATATGCAAGATAAAGAACTTGGCATGTTCACCTCCCTTTACCCCTTGTATTATCTTTACCTCCAAATTTCTATTATTTTATATTAGTTCATCAGTATTTTTATATTATGCTCCACTTTTAAACTATATTTGAATTATTCATGCTTTGTGTAAAAATCCACTTCAAATACAGCACACTAATAAATACATTCATAACAGTGAGCTTATTTGAATGGAACACCCTGTAGAGCCACATATGACTGTGCCACAGGAGAAATTGGAACCCCTGACTTCTGAGCATCAGAGGCTAAACTGCAAATGCATCCCACATCATCCCTCTGTCTTGCATCCCTTTCTTGCTTGAAGTATCTCTGAGGATTTTTCCAGCAGTAACCTCCCTGAGAGTCCTGTGTGGTCCAAATGTCATTTTGCCTTCTCTGAATTTCTCCCCCTCTTCATTCTCTTCCTTTCCCTTCATATTTGATTGGCAATTTGGCTGTCAGTTCAGTATTCCTTTTCTGTCAGAACTTTGAAGGCACTCTACTGCTTCTAACATCCAGTGTGGTTAACCAGAGGTGTTTGCTTTGTCTGTAATCTATCATGTTTCTCTGAAAACTACTAGGATTCTTGAATTTTTTCCATTTGAGTGCAGAAATTTCATTATGAATTTTTCAGGTTGGCCTATTCCGTGTCTTTGACTATATCTTCTCTCTCATTGCCTCTGTCACCTTTCCTGAAGCTCTCCATTCGTCTCCCTGCTTTATCTTCTGTGTTTTCAATTCTTCTAACATATTTCTCGTTTTGGTCTTTTCATTATATATTTAATTTTTTTTAAATTTTTTTGACAGGCAGAGTGGACAGTGAGAGAGAGAGAGACAGAGAGAAAGGTCTTCCTTTGCCATTGGTTCACCCTCCAATGGCCGCCATGGCCAGCGCGCTGTGGCCAGCGCACCGCGCTGATCCAATGGCAGTAGCCAGGTACTTATCCTGGTCTCCCATGGGGTGCAGGGCCCAAGCACTTGGGTCATCCTCCACTGCACTCCCTGGCCGCAGCAGAGAGCTGGCCTGGAAGAGGGGCAACCGGGACAGAATCCGGCGCCCCAACCGGGACTAGAACCCGGTGTGCCGGAGCTGCAAGGTGGAGGATTAGCCTAGTGAGCCGCGGCGCCAGCCCTTTTCATTATATATTATAGGAACTTCCTGAGTTCATCAACCTTGGCTTTATCCCCATTCATTTTAGCATTCCTCTGGACTTTTTATTTTGCTGGTTCCACATTTGATTTCAAAGAATTCTTTCTTGTTCCCCAGTTGATCTTTATTCATAAGAACCTGTTCTTATTTTCAAGACACAGTTTCCTATTGACTATGAGAAAACTAACTGGAATTTTAAAAATTATAGTCCGTTTCTTGTATTATTAGTTTCTTTTAAAGTAGGCTGTTCTGTTTTCTCTTTGTCCCTTGTTTCTGATGGTGTCTTTGAAGTGTATGAGTAGAAAGTTGGAATCAGTCTTCTCTGTAGTTGTTTAGGTCTTTTTCTCTAACAGAGCTCCTTCTTTAGCAAGAGTGCTGATCACAAGTTCTCTCATAGGAATTGCTAGCACTGATTCCACAGGATGTCTAGAATATCCATCAAAGTATCATGCCCCTCTCAAGCCAAGGCCAATTACTGAGGTCAACCAGACTCACTCAACTAGGACTTGGCATCTTCAGCGATGTGAAGCAAGGATTAGAGAAGGAAAAAGAACAGTTGGCATTTATTCACTATTTTGGCTAATTGACAATTTCCTGATATCTAGACCGTGGATTCTGTTGTAGACACATGCTGGAGTCTCCAGTCTTTCCTGTGCACTGATTCATTTTAATGAATGTGTTCATTAAGTCAGTAAGAGTCAGTTCCTGTTGCTTGTACACAAAGAATCTAAGCTTATACAGGTGGAGAGGAAAATGGGACACTTGTTAAGCTAATGATGTATGTCAGGCAATTTACATTTTTGCGTGTAATTCTATGAGACAGTTATAATCACCATTCTCTTAGGAGGAAAGAAATCAAGATGAGTAGATTTATTAGCTTGTCCACCATGCCAGAGAAAGCTGCAGAATCCAAGTCAGTCTGACATCAAAACCTATGCTTTTTCCTTCACTCTCAAGTATTTACAGAAAATTAAGGACACAGGCCTGGCTGCAGTTAAGAGTACATAATGAATACGGGATGAGAAATTTTAGTCTGGGAAAGCCAGGAAGAGGAATTTAGAGTCAATGTGTTAAGAAAAAAAGAATCACAATCTCATTCTTGATAGTGGAGTGGCATAATAAATCAAAGGAGAATTTAAGAAAGATGCTTCTGTAGGACATGGAATGAATTTAGAGGGCTCATGATGGAATAAGACAGGAGGCTGTGGTAATGATGAAATGACTGGGGATGGAGAGGAAAAGCCATTTTACAGCGGGATTTGGAAGAAAATGTCACAGGATTTTGTGACTGAATGGATATTATAGGGAATGAGGAAAGATGAGCCAAAAATGACTACAAGATTTCCAGTTGCAATGAGGACAGAGGAGTGAATGCCTTCAGCTTTCCTCTCTCCCCAAATCTCAAGGAAATGAAACAGAAATGCAAAAATAAACATGAATGCAAAGGGTACTAGAAAGAGGAAAGGATGCCAGAAGAGTTTACAAAATTTGAGAATCTCTGCAAAATGTAAAAAAAATGAATGACTCAGAATGATTGAAAAGCCAAGCATGCTAATTAGGCTGTAAGCAAACACA